GCGGTTGCTGGCTCGGTCCCTAACTATAATAAATCCACTATTTGCTATATTCTCAGCTCCAAACAGCAGACAGCCAAATCTAGCAACTAGCTGGTGTACAAAGTGGAGCATTCAGCAGGTATTTCAGCTACATTACTCTAGGCTAACAATTATAAGTAACACCCCTGGATTACGCGCTAGTATTTAGGGCTGCCCTCGAAGATTTGATGATTCAAGTCATCAGTTCATGTAGCTGCATTTCCACCACAGGAACTGCTTATATAGCTGTTTAAAACTGAAAAAAAGAGGAATGAATAGTCAAATCTTTGTATTGAACAGCCAAGAGTCGGATACTGCCCTGCTAGTATTTCTAGGTATATCTTTATGCTTTGGATGACGCTGGTCAACTGCAGGTAGCTCTTAGTTATCCAGATATTGAAATATCAGTGTAGTTCTCAGTAGGGTTGCCCCCTAATAGTCGACTTAATCGTCAGTCGCAATGAAGAGTCTTAGTCCACCCACTTTTCATTAGTCAGATAGTCACAGAAAAACAAAAAAAAGCATCAAACTCTGCTCGGGGCTGCTCCTCATCCCCGGGATGAAAGTTTTAGGGGATTGTTGCGGTATGGACTTTTTTTCTCGTAACAAAGGCAGTCACTTACTGGGGCACTGTACATTGTCACTAGGTGCTGATGCATATGCTAACTGTACTAGCTGCTCCGCTAGCTAGTTAGCAGTCCTGACTATACCCAGACTGGACTATGCTTGAAGGAGAGGGGGAGAAACTAACATCGGAGTGGAAGTTATTTATTCCGTGTTTGCACTGCAATGAAATAAACGTATTAAATGTGTAGGCTCCTTGCTGGTTGTTCTGACACGTTCAGACTACTAGTCGTCTAGGATAATCTTTGGTCGGGGGCAGCCCTAGTTCTCAGTGAAATGAGCCGCTAGAGTGTTTCGCTGGCATGAAACTCCGAAAACAAATTGCCCTAGATAACAGAACGCTAGACATCAGGGGTTTTTTTTTAAGGATTTTTTACAAAACGCACATATACCAGCTCTAGCAGCATCAGAACATTGCTGCTGACAAGGTGACAGTTAAGCTTGACCCTGGCAGTAGTCCCAACACTCTGTGGGAGGTTAATAGTGCATGAGTACAGAACAGACACATACTGAATCACACACGGGAACACACACACACGGGAACACACACACACACTCACTCATCATCATCCAGCCACAACTGCCTGGTCCCTATTTGTGCTTGTTTGTTCAAAGACAGCCGCAGCAATGATGACAAAGTTTTTGTCCGCTTCTGCCTCCTCCAATCACCCATTAGTCTTTCACCGAGCAGAAGAAAGAAAACAGGTTGAGTACCAAAACACACTACTTTGCCTCTTCTACATGGGTTTATGCAGGGACGATCAGTTAGCAGGATTTACCGGCTCATGTTCACGTTTGATTCCCTACTCCCAGTCTGGGACACAGGCCTCAAAGCCGTTTTCTGGGCACAAGGTCAGAAGGAGTGGGTGTGTAATTACATCCAAACAAACGTAGTACAGCTATAGACTTGAGGACAAATAGATTGGAAACCTTTTTGTTGAACTTTCTTGAAGAGATATTGGCCCGCTTGCATTCATCAATGAGTCAAGGGACTGGTCAGCTTTGAGAGCCTGCATTCTCCTCAGTTATTTGGTGAGACAATTTTCTTTTGTTTGCTGTTCCCTGGCACTAAAACAAGTCCTTGCTGCTGGCCTCAGTGGTCAGCAGTGTATTAATCACATGAACCCCACAGCGGGGGAGGCGGCGACAAAAAGCCAGGACCTAATGAGTTCAGCAGAAAACACCAAAAGAGTCGATGTTGGACTCGACAGAGCGCTGAAGCGCAGCGAGGCCAATTCACTTTCTGCAGCCCAATCCAAACATTTTTCCTCTTTTCTGCTAAATAAATAGGCTCGAGTTAGAATTAGGCGGATCAGGTAAGGGGATAATCAGTAGCTCTAATAATACTCTAGAGTGTAATCCTCTTGCCTTAAGTGCACTGGGCCAGGGACCAGCTTCTTCACCACATGCACAACTCTGACTGATAAGACTCTCACATAATGTCCACAACAGGCTCCCTGGTTCTTTTACATTTTGGTATTTTGGACATTTCTCATGTGCTGGGGCTCTCTTTAGGACTGCTCCATGGGTTTGGTGTCCTACGACACGGTGCTTCAGCAAGCCACATCGACATTATTGTTGACTGTTGAAGGTGTTGAGGCTGTGACCTTTCATTCACGTTACCACGAGTTTGCCTAACCCATTGCACAATAAGAACATATTTGGTAGGAAGTGGGTGCGTTGCTACATTCAGTTTTTACTGTTGAGGGCAGAGTTGATAAAATGTATTCAGGGAGTAAGGTTTCTGTGGCCTTTATCAGCTCGGCCCTGCTTTACATTCTCTACACATTCTCACCTGGCAGCTGAACACAACACCAGTCTGTAATGCTCACTTCTTTGCTGTTGTTAATACTTCAATCCTCCTAAACAGTTAGGGTACACTTTGCACCTGCATCTAAAACTATATTAAAACTTTTGTGTTTAATAAAAAGTCTTTTTTAAAATGTTTATATGTATCTATAAAAAAAATTATTTCATTTACTGTTTCAGCTTTTTATTCTATTACACAACTTTGAAAAACTGTTGAGTGAATGAGTCTAGGGGTATTATACCTGGGTGTTACAGGTGTGGTATATATTTGATGGCAGTGTGAAATCAGAATACCTTTCTAGATTTACTCTGACATTACTAAAATATGATTTTCATGATGATATAAAAATGCAAAGAAACTGCTCCTTTATTTCCATTAATAACATCATACCTGCATTTATTTGCATCGTTGACAGTGAGAACGAGAATTACAATGAATGTGCATTGTAATGGGCTTATATAACCTTTGACCATTGCCATTCTCAAAACAAGCCACGTACACCATGCAACTGTCCACCTATGGTGGTCACTTCTGTTTTTTCTGTTATGATTCAAGGAAGGAAGTTACACACAAAGGAAGCTGATTCAGAACACTGCATCATCACAGGACGTAATTGCTCCACTGGTTGCTTTAGATTCATGGAGCGGCCTGTAATATTTCCAAAACTTCCATTTTAACGTGACTGTCAAGCTAAGCTAGTTAGTCCATCTTAAGTAGCAAACATGTAGCAACCTGAGGAGGAGGTTGTGGGCCTGTGTGATTAAGCTATAATTGGTCCCATTACAGTCTAATAGGTGTTAATGTTGACAATGTATGTCCAATATATAAATATCTCCACGTTCGGCTTTCTACACCAGCCTCCAGTTTTTGGCTCTTATTTTTCTGTTTTGTGCTAAAAAAAAAAAGCTAGCATGCATTTGCTCTTCTGAGCTTATTTGCTACAACTGTCTGCCAGCTGTTTTATACAGGGGGTTGATGAGACCAAACAGTAAATGAAACCAAACTACAACAATGAGAGGATACAAGCTGTGTGGAGCTGCAGAGTTGGGTGTTAAGTCTCTGGGTTCATTGCTACAAGACAAGGAGTCACTTGATTCTATGATAACATTAAAACATACCGCTTAATGCAGGTTTGATATCTGTTCACCATACTGCCTTTAACCTATTTTCTCCGGTTGACCCCATGCTCGTACAGTATGTGGGCGTGACAGGTTATATGGTCAATAAGTTCCTTTTGGGCAGCAACTATCTTTCAGGAAGTACACAGGGGACTTCTAAAATAACTACATCTGTAGGCCATTTATAAATACAATTCCAGTTACGCAAGCTACAGGAAATGCAAGACTCAATAAACTGACTGCTGTATCCCAAAAGGCTGCAGTAGAGGTACACAAGTTCCTGGCAATGTGCTGCAACAAGATATGTTGGTGCTACGGATAATACTTGGACTTATAGGTCAAGTTACAGTGTATCTGTCAGGTAATATCCATTATAATGGTAAAACTGGAGAACATAAAGACATTAGAAACCAATCTTTCCACCTGTATTTTTCTCAGGTGATGGAAAAAGACAAACCCCCGACACTAACTGACTTCTGCACCAAATCACACCATCAACAATTCTTTTCAAACAAGATGTAAATGAAAACCTGGCAATAATCCATGTAATTCAGGAAAATAACTTGTATCCAAACCAAACTAAGTTTCCTTCTCTGGTAACAGAAGAACCTTGAGAAATGACATCCCCTAAGCTTACCCTACGGCCACCCGACACCTGCTTATAGAGATTACACAACCCATTAACTCCCCCTAAAACACTGGGTGCAGCCAGCCTTTAGCCGAGCTCCTTAAGAGTC